ATAATGTTGAGAGCTCAGCAGACAGTTTAAGTTTCACTTTCACTTTCACCCGAGAGCCTGCAGGAGTCAGGTGGGGTGTGTGGGAAAGGGGGTGGGGGGTGCTCTGCCATGAGGAAGCTTGGCTTAAAGACACATCACAGGGGCATTTCTGATACAAAAGGCATTTCTGGACCCCACCTGTCGTTTTACTCCTCAGCATAGCTTCCTAAAAACGCTGCAGGATTTCTCAAACATGCATGAATGAGTCAAAGCAAGGCTTTGGGCATGTTTTTTTTATGAGAGTATAACATTATAACATGATATAAAACTCAAAAAAGTTGATTTTACATGATATTGCCCCTTTAAATATAAAAATATGTTAATAATGAAAAATTGGGATGCACTAGATGACCTGTTTCAGCTATATGTCTCTGCCACAGTCATCTTCATACTAGGATAAGAAGTAAAAAGTTAGCTGACAAATAATTACTCCAGTAAAGTATAAATAACCTGAATGTCTTCTTAAATAAAGGAACAAAGTATTTGCACTTCATTACTTGACACCTCTGCCAGTGTGCTGCTTCTTTCTGGGTAGTTCAGTTTCCTTCCCCAGTCTAAATGTGTTAACAGTTAACTACGTTGACTTCAGATGTGAGCATTTGTGTTGCCTTAAAACACTGTTTTTTTTTCTTTTAACGTGTAATTTGAACAGTAATGAAAAAGAGAAGTTTAGGCTTCTTGCCTCAACAGCACACAAGTTTGTTACACAACTGTCTCACCTAACTGTAAGTGAGACATTGATCAGTGAATTCATAAAGTATTGTTTAATGTCCTTTTCACTCCAACTATAATGATAAAAGTTTGCATGCAGACATCAAGGGGATGAAAATTTGATTAACTTGTTTTTTTATGATTTTTGAAATAAGATTGGAATGATTATATTCTGTATCATACAACAATAAGTTTAAAAACGTAAACTGGGTACAGCTACATTTGTGTTTATGGTGGATTTTCTCTAATCAACACATACAGGATCAAACAAATAAATGCATTTGCTTAAATCATTTCATAAGTGTTGCTGAAGGCTCTAAACATCTTTTTATTTGACAAGACCAGGGTTTTTTTGTTAGCTGTCATGGCCAACAGCAGCTTGTAGTTCAACTATCAGTTTGACAGCACCTAATGAATTAACCAACACTCAGCTGTCATCCTATTAAAGGGATTTGGTTGGAGTGTTCAGGAACAACCCTGGAACTGCAAAGGTCCAATTCTGTCATGAAGTGTTTCTGTCCACAGGGAAGCAACATCAGTCTGAGTAGACAAAGACTGAGTTTTTTTTATTGAGTTAATGGCAATAAGTTTGTTTAGAGGAGTGAAGTTGAGGCTGTCATACTGGAGAACACTGTCCCAGCTTGGTGGTGGTAGAAACAAGCTGTGGTTCTGGTACGCTGCAAAAAGTGGATGGAATAACAGAGGAGGACGTCGACCTACAAGGTCTTCAGCAACACCTCAAACCATCAGCTAGTTGAAATTTGGAGACAGTTAGGTGTCCCCACAAGACAATGGGCCTCATGCAAGAACCGTTCATACGAACAGCTTTGTTCTTAAAGAGTAACTTACCCCAAAATTAACTTTTTTTAGCTGATGTGTCTAAAATGTTATATAGTACTGTTTCTGTGCTAATTTTGATGTTTTTGTGCGTATTTGTCCAAATCTGTAATATTTGGTCTAAAAATATCTTTTCGCTGCTCATATGGGTAGAGCAGTGGTACTGCAGGCTAATTTGCATATTGGTTAATAGCTCTCCGCTGTGACGTGTCTTCTCCACAGTTTCGTCACAGCGGCTGTGTTCTGGTATAAAAGCCTCTCTCTAAGACACGCCCCTGCAGCAGTCAGAGGGTGGAACAGTTAGCAAGCTTAGCATGATCGTCTGTTGACCTTCAGCCTCGGTGGAGAGAGGAGCTGACTGCTGCGCTGCTCTCTCTCTCCCCCTGTCTCTGTCTCTCTCCACACACACACACACACACACACACACACACACACACACACACACACACACACACA